TTTATACTTCTTTCCTTTCATCCATCCACCTATCCATATATCCATCCATATTTCTGCCCATCCATCCATCCTTCTATCTTTCCATCCATTTTCCATTCCATTTTCCCAGTCTGATTGTTAGATGTACCTATAACAGTGGTTTTACTCAATATAGGCTACACTCCTGTCAAAAGCAGGGGAAAAAAATATTTAAATCGCAGGCAGGCCATTTATATTATTTGATAGGCCCCTAAGACGCATATTTCATTATCGCTCAAACTGGAACATAGGTGCACTTACTGTAATTATGAAAGGCAATATGTTCCTCTGGAGTTATGACTGACATTATGAGTTTAAAATATGTCCTTCCAAAGTTAACACTGAGATCACTGTTTATACCGCAACTTTCTCATGTAGCTTTCCCTTGAGGCCACCAGAGAGGTTTATTCACAGTATCATATACCCCTGGGAGATGAAACAGGAGGCATAAGAAGGTTCTTCTATATATGCGGTCAAAAAGAAATCTGACATCAAAGAAACATAAGAGCCAAAGAGCATCTGTGGAGGGAGTGCATTTAAAACATCATAACCTGTGCTTAATGCTACAGGTAATGTTACTTTTATGTTAATTTTAAGGTCAAGGAAGTTGTAGCGGCAAGTAAATAAAACATACACTAATATTCCAATGCTGAATGACTGAATAGCAAACCTCTGTGATGAGGCTATTTGTCAAAGAAACCAGTACTGGAACATTGACTCAAGGACAGTCTCTTCTCCTCTTTATAATGTCACACATTAAAGACGGCCAGGAGTTACTTGCTCACCACTTATGATGTACATTTAGTGACAGGCAATATCAAGGTCAGTGTTTAAATGGAACTTTAATGACAGCCAGTGTGCTGGGATTTGAAGACCTGAGTATTCAGTGAATAATATTCTCCATTTTGATTACCCAAGTGCCAAAACTAACTTTAACAACAGCTCTTGTGCTAGCACACCATGTGCTGGCTATGAAAGTGCACTGGGATCATTCAAGATTGACTTGAAAGAAACGGACACAGAAAAATTAAGGGTAAAAGAACACCTTATGATGTATGAGGAGTGCAGTGGAGGAAAAATGTACAAGTGTTCAGGTGTTCAGGACATTTTTGGCTTCATCTACACCTAGGAAATGTGGAAATGGGGCAATGTTTTACTTTCTTTTGTAAAAATTGAAAAATTGGCTTAAAATGTGACCAGGTTTAATGGGATATTCGGGGTTCAGTACAAATTAGGTTTAATCAACAGCATAATGTTGAATAACATAACATTTTATTTCAACTTGCAAGTGAATAAAGCAAATCCATTAACATTAAAATACTGTTACAAAGACATGCAAATATTTTAGTGTGAAAATCACTTACTAAACTTTTCTGTGTAAAGTTATATTCAGTTTTGCAAACTTTGTTGCCAAGTCAGCATAACCCATAAAAACCCTCAAATAACAGTAAAAATAACGTAAACATCTTTATCTTAATTGTCACCGTCCTACCTGTAGGACGCTTGGCGCTCTTTTTTTTGTTGTCCTTTTTCTTTATCAAATCTTTTAGTAATCATCATAAATTCATCATAAATATATAATTTGAAAGCTTAGAAGCCCAAGATTCATCCTGTGAAATTCATTTTGAAATCGGACATTGCGTTACCATGGAAATGGCACTTTAAAATCGTTTGGCGGTCTCCTCCCCCTTAGTGGGCGGTGTCAAGTGTCATATTACAAAATGCATTATGGTCTTTTAGAATCAAACCTTTTTATAATCTTGACAAAAAACATATCATTGGAAATTTTGAGATAGAAGTAATATTGAGAGAAATCTAGACATTTGTGAAAATGCATTAAAAAATTAAATAGTTTGGATGGCACCCGGTGGCTGTTTGTGGTATAACGTCTTAAATAAAATTTAAATTTTTCATATCAACTTAAAATTTGGAACATAACTTCTTTAGACATAAGGCTTTAATTTTATACCTATAACAGTGGTTTTACTCAATATAGGCTACACTCCTGTCAAAAGCAGGGGAAAAAAATATTTAAATCGCAGGCAGGCCATTTATATTATTTGATAGGCCCCTAAGACGCATATTTCATTATCGCTCAAACTGGAACATAGGTGCACTTACTGTAATTATGAAAGGCAATATGTTCCTCTGGAGTTATGACTGACATTATGAGTTTAAAATATGTCCTTCCAAAGTTAACACTGAGATCACTGTTTATACCGCAACTTTCTCATGTAGCTTTCCCTTGAGGCCACCAGAGAGGTTTATTCACAGTATCATATACCCCTGGGAGATGAAACAGGAGGCATAAGAAGGTTCTTCTATATATGCGGTCAAAAAGAAATCTGACATCAAAGAAACATAAGAGCCAAAGAGCATCTGTGGAGGGAGTGCATTTAAAACATCATAACCTGTGCTTAATGCTACAGGTAATGTTACTTTTATGTTAATTTTAAGGTCAAGGAAGTTGTAGCGGCAAGTAAATAAAACATACACTAATATTCCAATGCTGAATGACTGAATAGCAAACCTCTGTGATGAGGCTATTTGTCAAAGAAACCAGTACTGGAACATTGACTCAAGGACAGTCTCTTCTCCTCTTTATAATGTCACACATTAAAGACGGCCAGGAGTTACTTGCTCACCACTTATGATGTACATTTAGTGACAGGCAATATCAAGGTCAGTGTTTAAATGGAACTTTAATGACAGCCAGTGTGCTGGGATTTGAAGACCTGAGTATTCAGTGAATAATATTCTCCATTTTGATTACCCAAGTGCCAAAACTAACTTTAACAACAGCTCTTGTGCTAGCACACCATGTGCTGGCTATGAAAGTGCACTGGGATCATTCAAGATTGACTTGAAAGAAACGGACACAGAAAAATTAAGGGTAAAAGAACACCTTATGATGTATGAGGAGTGCAGTGGAGGAAAAATGTACAAGAGCAAGTGTGTTCAGGACATTTTTGGCTTCATCTACACCTAGGAAATGTGGAAATGGGGCAATGTTTTACTTTCTTTTTTTTTTTGGTAAAAATTGGCTTAAAATGTGACCAGGTTTAATGGGATATTCGGGGTTCAGTACAAATTAGGTTTAATCAACAGCATAATGTTGAATAACATAACATTTTATTTCAACTTGCAAGTGAATAAAGCAAATCCATTAACATTAAAATACTGTTACAAAGACATGCAAATATTTTAGTGTGAAAATCACTTACTAAACTTTTCTGTGTAAAGTTATATTCAGTTTTGCAAACTTTGTTGCCAAGTCAGCATAACCCATAAAAACCCTCAAATAACAGTAAAAATAACGTGAACATCTTTATCTTAATTGTCACCGTCCTACCTGTAGGACGCTTGGCGCTCTTTTTTTTGTTGTCCTTTTTCTTTATCAAATCTTTTAGTAATCATCATAAATTCATCATAAATATATAATTTGAAAGCTTAGAAGCCCAAGATTCATCCTGTGAAATTCATTTTGAAATCGGACATTGCGTTACCATGGAAATGGCACTTTAAAATCGTTTGGCGGTCTCCTCCCCCTTAGTGGGCGGTGTCAAGTGTCATATTACAAAATGCATTATGGTCTTTTAGAATCAAACCTTTTTATAATCTTGACAAAAAACATATCATTGGAAATTTTGAGATAGAAGTAATATTGAGAGAAATCTAGACATTTGTGAAAATGCATTAAAAAATTTAATAGTTTGGATGGCACCCGGTGGCTGTTTGTGGTATAACGTCTTAAATAAAATGTAAATTTTTCATATCAACTTCAAATTTGGAACATAACTTCTTTAGACTTATGGTCTTTTAGAATCAAACCTTTTTATAATCTTGACAAAAAACATATCATTGGAAATTTTGAGATAGAAGTAATATTGAGAGAAATCTAGACATTTGTGAAAATGCATTAAAAAATTAAATAGTTTGGATGGCACCCGGTGGCTGTTTGTGGTATAACGTCTTAAATAAAATTTAAATTTTTCATATCAACTTAAAATTTGGAACATAACTTCTTTAGACATAAGGCTTTAATTTTATACCAATTTTAGAGTAAAACCTGTTATGTAAAATATTTATTATATATAAAATAAAATAAAATTATTATAGTGCATTTTCTTCACAGTAAATGTAAACTTCTATAACTTTTTGATACCTTTTTTGAAAACATTCCACTTTTGCAATAATCTTCTTTAAAAAGAGACCAACCTTAGGTCTGTATTCCAAAATGTTCATAAATAACAATAATTTAAGTTTGGATAGTGCACTTTCATGCCTATTTTAAAAATGGGGGGTGACAGTTAAGGGAGCTCAAATAGTACACAAGATACAGTTTTTCCCGGTAATCAACACGGTGCCACAAAATCTGTCAACTGATCTTAACTTGTGCTAAACCCAGAATATTCTTTTAAAGTATAAAAATAATATCCCTTACTCTCATCAACCAAAAAAGGTATTTTTTTTAACCTTGTGCTGAGAACCAAAGGACTCAATGGCTTTTATGACTAATAAAAATATAGGACCATCCTAATTTTAGAGGCCATTTAGAATGGATTCAAACAATTCGACTGAATGTGACCCTGTGAAAATTAGTAAAAATGTCAGATTTGGGTTGTAAATCTTATCTGTGTCACTTAGTATTTTATGCTTATGGATCTCCAGTGTGCAGTTACGCTGTGAATTCTGCCAGCACCACACTTGATAAATGCCTTTTTATGGAGAGCACAGAAAATGATCAGCATCTGGGAAATGATCCTTAGACTTGGATTAAAAGCTATTTTATCAGGGCGAAGAGCGAGTACTCTTCAGTGTATGCATCAGAAAGGTCATTATATTCACACATGTGACATCTGCCCTCCTCTCATCTGAAATGCTGATTGGACATACAGTATCTGACCTCATTATGCTATTGTCCTTCTCTGCCCCCATAACAAACCCTTAATGGATGTAACCTGGAAGTTTAGCCAACTCACACTGTCACGTTGCGGTCTGGGCAGCTGTCTCCGAAAGTGCCCCCCTGCTCCTTGAAGGTGATGAGGTTCCAAACAGCCACCACGGTGTCTTCAGGCACGTTGAAGTGGAACAGCTCCACGCTGGCAAATGAGCGGTATGCGTTGAGCTTGCGAGGCGTCCGGGTGAAATAGTCAGTTACAAACAGGCAATCTAGGGAATGGAACAGGGAGAGAGTTGTTTAGATAAAACACGGTGATCTTAGGTGATCGACTAGAAGCTGGGTGGGAAGAGGGTTGGAGGAATCAGTCTTAATGTGGTTTGGTTGACCTTCCTTCTGAAAGCCCCACCAGTGATTTAATCACACTTGCATGCTTTGGCTTTGATTCAAAAAGCCAGACTCTATGCAAAATTAATTTCATTGCAATCCTTCAATACAAGGCCAGGGAGGGAGCTGCAAAATGACATTTGCAATCTGCCTTAATGAGCTGTGGCTTCCTATGGCTCCATCGTCAGAGAGCCTAATGGCTTCCAATCTCCTCAATGATTTGTGGAGGTAAGCATTTATACTCAACTGCCCAGTTGCTTCCATGATATTCTTGTATTCCCTGTGTGTTCAATGCACAGGTGCAATTGCAGTTTGCTTGCCCCAGATGAATGTTGCCGTTACTAATGAGCATCTTCAGTAAGTGTCTTGACTGCCCTTTCATCATGGTGATAGTCTATGGCTGTCAAGGTCAGTCAAGACATCCAGTAGATTAATATACTATACACTATACATGGCCAAAGGTTTGGGGTCAGTAATAATTTTTCTGAACGCAATTAATACTGTACTTGTGTTCAGAAGGAATGAATGCATTAAATTGACTAGGTTTGGGGTCAGTAATAATTTTTCTGAACGCAATTAATACTGTACTTGTGTTCAGAAGGAATTAATGCATTAAATTGACTTTTACACAGTTACAAAAAAAAAGATTTAAAATAAATGCTTAATAAATTATTTTGAACTTTCTGTTCATCAAAGGATCCTGAAAAAATGTATCCACATACATTATTTCCACAGAAATAATGTTTTTGAAATAAGTCTCATATGCTCACCAAGGCTGCATTTAATTGATAAAAATACAGTACATTAAAACTGTAATTTTGTGAATTATTATTACAATTTACAAATAGCTGTTTTCTATTTGAATATATTTTAAAATGTCATTTTATTTTAGTTATGGCAAAGCTGAAATTTTAGCCGGCATTACTTCAGTCTTCAGTGTCACATGATTCTTAAGAAATCTTTCTAATATGCTGATCTGGTGCTCAATAAACATTTATCATTATATTAAATTGTAACAAATTAGTTTATTGTCACTTTTAATCAATTTAATGCACCCTTGCTGAATAAAAGTATTAATTTCACCCTAACAAGATTCATTCATTTAAAAACCCCTTTGTTTGCGAGACAGAGTACTTATTAAATTACAAAATAAATATAGAATCATTTTGATCCTGATCCAATCTGATATAGTATTATTCTATTTTTTTTTTTTTTACTTTTTCAACAGAGTAGCTTTTCTGAACTTTAAGTACTTAAAATATGAGTAGTTTGTAGACTGTTAAACTACCATTTTAAAGTAACATTGCCATACACATTCAGAGCAATCATGTAATTCAGTCCTGAAAATGCATGCATTTGTCGCCAGACTGAACTTGAACATCCTAAAGCTCCCTGACTGAGGAGATCCCAAATCTCATACCCATCAATACTTTACATTCCCCACAGCTCAGGAGCAGCACTGCAGCGTAAATATCTCTGGAGATAGTTTGTGTGTCATACAGAGAAAATGAGAAGAAATGTATAAAGTTGGGAAGCTGGATGAGTGAAGACAAATGACAGCACCTGTATGTCAGCTCTAGCCGTCTGTTTAATCTCTTTCCCGTCGAACTCTTTGCTTCTGTTATTAACAGACATAACAAATCAACCGCCTTGACACTTTTATTAAGCTGATGGACTCTCAGAGGTATGACGCCAGTATGGCCTCTTCATCTGTTATCTCAGACAGCACAGTACATCCCACTGATGGGCTTCACGTGCAATCACTTACAGTGCGAATAAAATTACTGAGTGAAATATAGAATATGGACCCTTGCACAATTGGTGGCTGACTAAATACTTTTTTGCCCCACTATATTTGGTATTGTATGAATTGCAACAATGTCCATCCAGGGCTGAAATGTAGCATTTATAACAACTGCCTCACTATCTTAAATATATTAATGTATCAATCTAAGGTGCTAAATTATTCAATGATTTTACAGGAAAGTAAAAAGAAAAATACTGGAAATTATACAGCAAACTGAAACTCTAAGTTTGAAATGTGATTTACTTTCTTTGCCGCTGTCGACACTGGCTTGCTTAGTTGGGGACACTTAATTTCCGGCGATATCGTTGACATAATTGCAAAGATATTATTTAAACTGAGCTGGATGTTGACATCACTGAATTCAATGATGAACTGTCTTTAACTGAAAAATGAGTGTTTATATTGTCACTTTGCATTATTGACACTATTTTCCTAATTAATGCTGTTCAGTTGCTTTGACACAATCTGTATTGTTAAAAGTGCTATATAAATAAAGGTGACTTGACTTGACTTGACTTTCTCAAGCAAGCATTTCTGTCAAACAAAAATCCTACTGGTGGCCCAGTCAGAGGCGGACAGGCTGATTACCCCTCATGTCAATCAGAAACAACGACAATGTCATGTTGTTTGACTGTTACATGGGCTGATGCAATGCAGGTGTGTCAAAATACGTCTTCTTGTCGTGTCCACAAAGCAAGCCAAGGATATCCCTGTACTTTGAAAGCAGCAGGATACTAAGGTTCAGAAATTACACCTGTAAACTGTGGGGTGAATTCACTAAACATTTATCTCAGCTTTAACCGACTGCAAACAGCTTAAAACAGGTGCAATCTATGCAGGGTTTTTTGGTATGGCGTGTGTATTTAACTAACTCCAGTGTCATTCTATTCAGCACAAACATTTGATCCTTTTTTATACAAATTAGTTTTAAAGCCTTATTCACAAAAACAGTTAACACTATTTGCCTGGCACAATTAACGCTGCACTAATATATCCCCCGTGGTATTCAGCAACCAGAATTTTTCAAAATGAAAAGGATACAAAAAGAAAATTTGTTCCAAACCTGTATGACTTTGTTCTCTTTTGTGTCTTTCATTTTGAGTAATGTCTCTGTGTTTCTTTTTTTCTATAAAGTGGAAGTCAATGGTCACCAAAATGGTAAAATTACCAACATTTTTCAAAATATCTTCCTTTGCACTTCACAGAAGAAAGAAACCATATAGGTTTAGAATGAAAGAAGGGTGAGTAAATGATGACAATGTTAATTTTTGGAGGGACCATCCCTTTAAAACCAAAGCAGACAGTACACTCTTAAAAATAAAGGTGCTTAAAAGGTTCTTCACAGCGATGCCATAGAAGAACCATTTTTAGTTCCACAAAGAACCATTCAGTCAAAGGTTCTTTAAAGAACCATCTCTTTCTTACCTTTTTGTAATCTGAAGAACCTTATTTCGCCACAAAGAAGCTTTTGTGAAACAGAAAGGTTCTTCAGATGTTAAAGGTTCTTTATGGAACCATTTAGTCAAAAAGGTTCTTCTATGGCATCGTGAAGCACCTTTATTTTTAAGAGTGATATGTGCAAATAAACAACACTATCAGTGGGTGTAATTCGTTTTTAGTGAAATTCTCCCTCAGTATGCAGTAAAAATTGCTCTCCACTAAGGGAACAATATTTATCTGTTTTAGTACAACATCGCAATATGTTTCAGTGCTAAATGTTTGACCTTGATATTTCCATATAGACATCAGACAGAGATATACCATGTTGCTTATAGTTGGTTTGACGATACACAACCTGCCAAACAGCAGTGCACTCACACACACATTATATTACTGATTGAAGAAGTTTAAAACAGTTAAGTCAGATGACCAGTTCAGTTCATATGTCTGATTCATATTAAGATCATTTTTGATCCAGTGTTAATCCAATCCAGCAATACCAAATAGCGTGCATAAACACTTATGCAATAAATCTCACTAAATAATCCTGAATAAGAAAAAAGTGATCTACTCCTACAAACCCACAATATAAAATTGTATATTTATAAAATTAAGAAAAATTAGGCAAAATCTTGATTTAATTTTTTTTAAGGGGGAGTGCTTTTGTATATGCTCCTAATTGCTTCAAAATAATTTATTATTTGGTATATGTTATATAAATGTAGTATTTATTTTATAAATTTTCAGTGAATACATGTTCATATCAAAGCATGTGATATAAATATTTCTAAAGTAATTCTGTCCTTCCACAGCACATCTTGTCCTTGCTTTTCTCGCAGAACACAAACTCTGCTTTTAAAACATCATTACTGGCATCTCACTGTTTTTAATCGGTATTTAAATAACTTTGAGGAATCTTTGAAGTACAACAGTTAAAAATGGGCATTAATTAAAAAGAAACAAGAGAAAAGCAAGTGTCCTTTGGAGAAGGGACAGACTGTTCATGTCTCTGTGTGTCTTTTTCCTTTTTGCCACTGCACAGGCCACAAAAGGTGTTTCACAATGGGCCAGACAAGTAATAAATCACAAACCATTTTATTACATTTCATGTCAATATTCCCCACACAACAAAGTATAATGCCGCTCAATACGGTTCCCTTCTTTCAATCTAAGCTTCAGATTGAGGAGTATTCAAATTAACATCGCTTTTTTTTCTCCCAGTCACGTTACCTCTCCGGCAGTGACGGGGAATCAATAATTAATTATGTCTCTCTCTCACATATGTAGAGCCCCATATTCCCCACTGTCATTGTTTCTACACATGAGAGGCAGAGATATTGAGGTCAGATTGCTTTTACCGTATGTCTTCATGAAAAACACTCTATAGCCTGAAGAGTTCGATTTGTCTTAAAATATAGAGGCCTTTCAGCAAAATCACTATTTACGTTTACATCAGAACCAATACATGTCTATATGAGGGCTGCTATACAGTCCACCATATTGGACAAAGCCTGTCAATGAACACTTGACAGCAAATTGACTGTGCGTCTGCAAGTATAGCTCATGTCTTCAGTAGTCTTTAAAAAACTACTAAATTATTGAATTTCACAGGCTTTAGTTTATCATTTGTGTGAGATA